CATGTGTGATTACTTGTAACCAATGCTTCTCCAGGCCTGAGGAGACAGAACGAGTGACAGACAGGAAGTCACCAGACACTTTATTGATTATATATTTGATTATTTCCTATACACATCAGTACAATATATAATATTATTATGGTGCTGCGATTGTATATAAGACGTAATAGGATTTTGCATATACTGTATCTATCTTATTGGCTAGATGCCATTACATAAATACTTACGGAGAATTTGGTTTTCTCTTCTCTTTTTTAATGACTATTGCTAACAAAGAGGATGAGGAAATTGCAAAAATGAGTGCATCACTCAATGAGCGCTATCAAAATAAGGATGTTATAAGTGTGTCCTTCTACCTGGGTATTACAGTTGGGATCCACCCACCCCCTCCACAGCTTAGCACTCCAGTGAGCACTAGAGGGGCAGAGAGCTGGTGGTTGACAGTCACCATGCGTCTGATCACTAAAGAATGAGAAACAAGCGATCAGCAGTCTTTGATCACTCATTGCTCAGTGTTAGAAGCGGTGGGGGACAGATGCAGTATTGGACAGATGCCGCATCCACCATTTGTCTGATCACTAAAGAATGAGAAGCGACCAATCAGCAGCCTTTGATCACTCATTGCACAGTGTTAGAAGCGGAGGGGGATAGATGCAGTATTGGACAAATGCCGCATCCACCATGTGTCTGGTCACTAAAGAATGAGAAGCGAGCAATCAGCAGTTTTTGATCACTCATTGCTCAGTGTTAGAAGCGGCGGGGGACAGATGCAATATTGGACAGATGCCGCATCCACCATGTGTCTGATCACTAAAGAATGAGATGCGAGCGATCAGCAGTCTTTGATCACTCATTGCTCAGTGTTAGAAGCGGAGGGGGACAGATGCAGTATTGCACAGATGCCGCATCCACCATGTGTCTGATCACTAAAGAATGAGAAGCGAGCGATCAGCAGTCTTTGATCACTCATTGCTCAGTGTTAGAAGCGGCGGGGGACAGATGCAGTATTGGACAGATGCCGCATCCACCATGTGTCTGATCACTAAAGAATGAGAAGCGAGCGATCAGCAGTCTTTGATCACTCATTGCTCAGTGTTAGAAGCAGCGGGGGACAGATGCAATATTGGACAGATGCCACATCCACCATGTGTCTGATCACTAAAGAATGAGAAGCGAGCGATCAGCAGTCTTTGATCACTCATTGCTCAGTGTTAGAAGCAGCGGGGGACAGATGCAGTATTGGACAGATGCTTCATCCACCTAGGTAAGTATAATTTTTTTTTTAATGAAACCCATACTTCTCTTTTTTTGTTCCAGTTAGACAATAGCCCAATATCCTGGTTCAGCAAAAAGTAAATCTCAGCAGCTTTTTCCTCTACAGAGGGTGAATACATCTCAGCAGCTAATGCTTGTCAAAAGCTAATTTGGTTGCAGGAGCTACTTGTAGACTTTGAAGAACTAATGTCTCAACAGTTTTGAATGAGAACAATTAATGATGCATGGTATTCAAAGACTGAAAAGATCAATGCCAGAGCCAACCACACTGATGTTAGAGACCTCAGAGACCTTATGGAACAAAATGTGCTTGTGACTGAATACTGTGAAACTGATAAGATGATAGCCGATGCTATGACAAGTTTGAAGAATTCCAAATGAAAACAGGACCTTTACGAGAAATAACAGTTAAGTGGATGTGTTACCGAGCTGTTTTATACATACATTCAGTAGGTGCAACAACAGGGGCAGACTGACCATTCGAGCACACAGGCACTGCCCGGGGGCCCAGGGTCAGTAGGGGGCTCCATGAGATGCCCCTGGTACCTTTCATAAGCTTTTTCATATGCTTTTTTGGGTGTGGCTTGAGTGTGGGTGAGGACACAGGGGCCCCATGATCCCCTATTGCCTGGGGGCCCCATGAGTTGTCAGTCCGCCCCTGCACAACAACCATTCTCATATATTATACTGTAATTAGTAGTTCTGCCAATAATGCCAGTAATGTTATTTTTAATAAAAAAGAAGAGAGAAGAGCGTACACCCCCATAGTGTAGTATGAATATGAAAGTTCAATGGACCAAATAAAATCAATAGTTGCACTCACAAACAACTGTAGGGTATAGAGGCTTTCAGGTGGCTTGGAGGATAAGTCCAGAGTCAGTGTATACGTTATCCCAGATCCCCACCAAATGCTCAGCTAGTGGAGAGCCTTATTGGGCTCATCACAGCTATTTAACCTATAGAGGACATTTTCCTGGGGGTGAGCACAGTTTGTTACAGAACTTTTCCTGTGACACTGTCCACTTTTTGTTATATTTCAGTGCTTGTGTAAAGTATTTTTATCTCTGGTAGACATAGAAGGTTAGGATATGATTTTCTTCCCTCTTCATTCCTTTTGTTTCCAATAAAGCAAAAAGGGCCATGTGTCCAGCAGGGATGAGCTTACGTTTGTTTGGAACCGATTTCAGATCTGAACCAAGAAATCAGCTGTCTTTCCTAGTCCAATATATTGTTTACATGAAGCAATGTACAGCACCTTGCCAGCCCCTCCAACCAACCATGACCTTCTTGTATTATTGTGTAGAGAAGCACAGTGACCCAGTGATTACATCACTGGCTCTAAAATGTAAATACATGAGAAGAGTTTTATTAAAAAATGTTACAGTATGTTGATGTGGGGGGGAAAGGAGGAAACAAGGAAGCTAAAACATAATCAGATTATACACCAGCTTTAAATGTGAAGTTGCCGTACAAAGTCATGTGTCTCTGAATGAACAGACTGTGACAGAATTTCTGTTTGCTTTTGCTGGATTTTCTTCTGCTAGAGAAATTTTCTTAATTTTTGGCTAAATATAAGTAAGTAAGACAGCCACAAAACTGACATTTGGTGAGTGGGCTGACTTTTGAATGCTACGGTTCTGAGGCTGAATCAATTGATGGATTGATAGATAAATCCTGTTTACAAAAATATACACATGCTGCTTCTTTTTAATTTACACATATACAGTAATATCCTCTAATCATTTATACATTCACGTATGAAGAATTGTTTCTACATAAGCATAATCTGTCAGTGGACATTTTTTGTGTGTGTCAATCTCTATGAAATGCAAAGACACAATGGAAGGAGAACAGAACAGTCATCATTCAGAATACTGGGCAGCTGATGGTGGGGATATCTGTAACACATTTAATTCGAGGAAAAGTGAGGGTGGGCAAAAGCACCCTATTCCACATCTGCAGCAAATATGTCGGATTTGGGGCGGGGGGGGGGGGGGGATACTGATGGAGTTGGAAACCTTGGCATAATAAGGAAGAGGAAAAAATAATAGGGTAGAGTGGATTGGAGGAGAATGAGCCATGATGACAGAAAACAAAAATATGTTTGTTTTCAAGTGACTCTATCACTGGTCATGTGCTGTCTCTTACTATCAAGGTGACAGCTGTGGAGTTTGTGGAGGACAGTGGCGGCCAGTCACAGGATGACAATTCCATGATGTGTGCCCCATACACAGGAGAAAGCTGAGCTGCCCAGCTTTTTTTGTATAGACCTGACAGTGGGGCGTTTTGCGCACAATCCAGTAGCTGCAGCCACCGGGATTGTGTCTAAACCTCACAGGAATACTCCTACCTGTCATTTGGAAGCAGTCAAGTGGCTGTGCTGCTGCTCGATTGCCTACACAGCCCCCAGTAATGTGCCCCCCCCCCTCACCACATGCGATCCCACCATGTAATCTAGGCTCCGCTTGCCAATCTGTGGGCCTGGGGCTGACATGGCGGTGCCAGTGGGTGGAGAGGAGAGTGGACATACATCCGCTCTCCTCCCCTTCTTGCTAAAAGACCCTACATGTCTCATTAAGAAGAACCTGTCACCTAAAAATCATCACATAGGGGACTTTGTGTCCCCTATGTAATGAAAAAAAAGTAAAATGAAAAAATTTTTTTGCAAACAAATAAAGTTGTACCCAAGCACATAACATCGCCCCTCCCCCCAAAAAAAACAATTTGAGGTCTTCCCACCCCACATATGCACACGTACAAACGTAAACACCTACGCATGAAAACATCGATTGCAATACACATGTTACATATCACCGCTCACACCAGAGTGAGCACAATCATTCTAGCACCGAAACACTAAACTGATGACCTGTAGGGGCTTTTGAAGCATCACCTAGAGAAAATATAGGATACTGAAGTTTATCGCCATTTCACAGGCACACACATATTTAAGGTTTGACATGTTGGGTATCTATTTACTCAGCACAACCTCGTCTTTTATATTGTAACAAAAATGTGAGAACTATATTGTGTTTGTATGCCCTAAAATTCACTTTAGTGTGTTTTTTACCGAAATGTTGAGCTTCCTAGACCTTTGTGGTAATTTCATGTGGCATAAAAAATTTGAACTACCAATATTTAATTCTATAGGGTGTCTGCTTTCAGAAAATATATAATGTTTAGGGGTTTTGTGTAATCTTAAGGCCCAAAATGATTTTTAAACGTGTGCAAAAAATGCAAAAACGGCTCTGGCAGCAAAACATCAATGGTATGAATGAGATTCAGGAGGGCAGTATTTTTATTATGAGGCCAAGTTCAAGAACATAAGGATATGACCTCAAACTAGCAGGAGGAAAGTTGAAAACTAATCTTAGAAAGTATTATTTTACTGAAAGGGTAGTTGAAGTTTGGAATAGGCTTCCAGCAGATTTAGTGAACCAGTCAGCAATACGTGCGATCAAACATCCTTGGGACAAACATATTAAAAAATAAAAAAGGAAAATAAAAATTAGGCAGACACCATGGACCACTTGGTCTTTTTTGTGCCATCACTCTTCTATGATTCTTTGTTCTAAATTTGTAGTCATCAGTAGTGACAAGGAATTGTTTAAGCCTAACTTTGTAATGTTTTATTCCTTGCTTTTTTTTTATCATTGCCTGACCTTGCACCATATCAGACCTTAGAACAGATCCCGGACTACAGAAACAAGTACCAGTCTGGCATGTTATGCTCCTGCTTTATTTTCATAAAATAGTTTTTGTTTCCTTTTTTGCAAGTAACGTAAGAGATTACTATACTGGACCTCTGGTATGATAAGTCTCTGGCACAGGGACCTGTTTGTTTTAATTTCAGGTTTCAGGTTGTATCCCAGAATTGTGGCAATTCCAGACTGATGTGGCATCATTAAATTGCCTTTTATCTTACTGGGGACAACCTCACTCTGCAAACATTTTTTTTCATTCTCACTCCTTTTCATTTGTAGTATCTGAACCTCACGTTGCATTCGCTCCCTTCCAAACTTCTCTACATGTTTCCAGAAGGAATTGTTGAAATAGATATACAATTGCCAGTCAAGACTGTTCCATCTTCTCACTTTTTCTTGTGTTTCCAAAGTGAGGGCTTTCTTGGTCATGTTACTTCTCCTATTAAGTGGAAAGGACAATACATCATCAAATGACCAACAAAGGGCATCCTTCAAAAGAATAAGAGACTCATCAAAGTATTCCATGATAAGCACTAGATCAAAGATTTGATCTACTGTCTCCAGTGTTGTCTTTACATTTTTAATGGTGTCAACACCATTGGGATTGAATCCTAAATCAAAAGTTATTAAGTTCTTAGCTAAGTGGCTATTGTTCATTTTAACATCATAATATGTAGAGGTATTGTTGAGAAAGTCTTCCAGGTTACTAGCCTTTGTGAATGGCCCTTTGTCTTTGTAGTAAGAAAAAGACGATTCCATAAGGGAGATTGGGTTCCGCAGGACAGTGAAATAAAAAGTGTCATTTGGCATTACTTTTTGAACCTGTAAATAAAAATATAAATCATTAGTTGGTCTCTGTGACACGATGGAATGCTTTGGTGTTATATTTATAATGAAATTACTTTTCTTCCTGTATGGTATATGTATAGCCCTTGTACAAATACCTGCCTAACTTTTTGCAGAATTTTCTGTATTCCTTGCTTACTGTGGTACAGCTTGACATAATGTATATATGCACATTTTATACTTGACTGGCTGTTTGGGAAATTCAGCATTGCTATAGCAAAAAGGTGTGAGACTTCAATTGTGCTTTAAATATTTCCCACTTTACTATTTTGTGATTAAAATGTCTAATAATAATGTTAAGAAAATTAGTATTTATAAAGTAAATCCCAATAAGAATATTGCTCCACAATAACACGTAGTATATATTTCCTTTCACTCACTAGAGTTCATCGTCCTTGTAGTGTATAATATTTCATCCCTTAGCACTCCTTTATTAAGGTAGAAAAAATTGCTATGATTATGTTCTATTTGTAATAACCTAAAGAAGGCAATCAGATTTCTACTTATTGGTCATCTGAGTATAACCAGGGGTTAAGTTCCCTTTATGGAAGGCTGTTTCCTTTTTGAGTATGGGCTGGAACCTGGTCCTAGAATAAGTAGGTATAAAAAGGTAAGCAAAGCTGGAGGAACAAAGATGGGAAGAAGAAGCCATAGACTCCTCAGGATGTGATAGTAAGGGGTCACGGAAACTTCTTCCTTGGTGACCCTGTCCAGTTCGCAGTACCTTGGGGATACAGAGGTGTAAGAAGAAGGAGTGGAGAATGGAATGCTGGCTTGCCCCTGTGTGTTGGATATGTATCTTCTCCTAACTGGATGGTATTTCCTGAGGCTTGGATGGGCTATGTCATTTTCAATAAACCTTTGTAAAAGGAAGATCAGACTGAACATTCTTTATTTGGGGAGAGGGATCTGGATTGCTGTTACAAGGCCATGGACCTGGTACCAGGGGTGGACTGACAACTCATGGGGCCCCCGGGCAATATTGGATCATGGGGCCCCTGTGTCCTTGCCCAAACTCAAAAAAAGCCTATGAAAAAGGTACCAGGGGCATCTCATGGGGCCCCCTACTGACCCCGGGCCCTCAGGCAGTGCCCGAGTTTCCAAATGGTCAGTCCGCCCCTGTCTGGTACATGTGTATGGAGACAAGATGGAAGAGCCTCCCCTGAAAGTAGAAAGTTCAGAAAATCCTAATCCCCCCATACACTACCATACCCCTCATACTACGAGGTAGCAGGAGCATGTCCCTAAGCCAACGGTGGTGTGGCTGGCGATCACTAGGTGACCTGCTGAAACTTCCTTCCTCATTGTGAGTTTCTGCATTGTTCCTGCAAGACGCACATGTAGGCTTGGAAAGAAATATTCCTTTTGACCTTCAAACACTGCAAATGCCAACATCTACAGTAGGCCAGGCATAGAGGTGTCAGGAAGAGGTAAGTCACTATTTCAACAATTGGAGTCAGAATAGGTGATGTAACCAGAGCCTCAAAGATGCATCTTGGGAAGGCTACAGCACTAGTGCCTTTCCTCTTAGATGATGTGCACTGTCACAGTGCAGACCTTAGGGTTTCAGAAAGTTAAGAAAGATGGATGTATCTGCCTTAGTGAAAAAGCTCTGTGTGTGAATGGACACATGGAGCAGCGGGTGTCCCCATAGTAAGCTGCTTCCTGTGGGGGCACCCAACAGAAAGGAGGAGCCAGGAGAGCCTGCAGGGAACTTGAGAAGAGGAGGATCCAGGATGCTCTGTGCAAAACCACTGCACACAGCAGATAAATAAAAGGTGTTTCTTATTTTACAAAAAAAATTAACCTTTAGCATCGCTTTAGCGAAAATTATAAGTTGGGTGAATCTCGGGTGAAAAAATTGCTAATAAGACTCCTTAGTAGTGTTGAGCTCAATGTTCGAGTCGAACGTAAGTTCAAAAAAGTGCGTTGGGTTCCCCTAAAGTCCTACGAGGCTCTTTAGGCCTGGTAGGACTTTTAAGGGGAACCCCACCATGAAAAAATGGGGGCAAAAAAGAGTGGGGTTCCCACCTAAATTCCTACCAGACCCTTGATCCAAGCACAGGCCTGGCAGGGCAGGAAAGGGGGGTTGATTGAACCATTCTTACCAGGCCATGTTCCCTTGCCATTGGGTTGGTGTCCCTATGCCGATGGGGACAAGGGCCTCTTCCCCATAACCCTGGCCCGGTGGTTGTGGGGGTCTGTTGGTACCCATGATGATAATGAGCCCCCCTGCCCGCAGATCCTCACAACCACTGGGCCAGGGTTGTGGGGTTTTTTGAATGAGTAAGGAATACTTTTACCCCTACCCATTCATTAAAAAGTTAAATTTATAAAAAATAAATATGCCAGACTTTAGAAAAATTCCTTTCATTGAACAAAAAACAAAACAATAGTTTTTGACAAGTCCTCTAATTAAAAAAAAGACAAAAAAGTAAAAAAAAACAAAACTGGTTCCATCGATTTAATCCATCCTCAATCACGGCGTCTAGCGTTGTCCCGATGATGTGGACATGCCGAAATAAAGAAAAAAACCTGATAACCACCAAGCACTCGCTGCAATATGACAGATCTAAGAGTTGACAGTTAGATGTAAACAATTGGGTGGAGCTGGCAATGACGTCGGCTGTGACATCACCGCTAGCCACGTCTATTTGTTTACAACAGAGTGGCAAATGTCAGACCTGTCATATTGCGTCCAGTGCTCGACGGGTGTGGACAGGTCGGTGGGTGTTGGTTTTTTTTTTTTATTTCACAAGTCAAGTCGGCGTGACAATACTGGACGCCATGATTGACGATGGATTATAACGATGGAATCATTTTTTTTGGCTTTTTTTTTATTGAAGTCAAAAACTGTTGTTTTGCTTTTTGTTCAATTAAAGGAATTTTTCAAAAGACTGGTCTCATTATTTTTTTACTGGATTTAACCCTTTAGTGAATGGGTAGGGGTACAAGGTTCAGGGTTGTGGGGAAGAGGACCTTGTCCCCATCGCCATAGGGACACTGTCCCATGCCAAGGGCACGTGGTTTGTAAGCCGCAAGAAGGGGAGGGGTGCTTGATTGTCCCCCACCCTTTCTTGCCCTGCCAGGCCTGTGCTCGGATCAAGAGTCTGCTAGGAATTTAGGGGGCCCCCCATGCTTTTGTTTCCCATTTTTTGGGCTTGGGGTTCCCCTTAAAAGTCTTAGTAGGCCTAAATGGCCTGGTAGGGCATTTAGGGGGAACAACATGCACTTTTTCCCCCATTGTTGGGAGGTGGGGTTCCCCTTAAATGTCCTACTAGGCCTAAAGGGCCTGGTGTGGCTTTTAGGGGGAGCCCCATGCACTTATGCACTTTTTTAAAAAAAATGTTTACTGTAGGGTCCCCTCTAGCCTTCCTACCATCCTAATGTTTCTGGTAAGGATTGGGGGGGGACTCCATACTGATGGGTTTTTTTTTCTTTTTAAATAAAAATGTATTTTTTTTACCACATGTCAATCCTGCTGCAGCAGGTTCTATACATTGTACAAATGTGCAACTTTGCAGGTAGTTTAAAAAAAAAAAAACCCCAGGCATGATATTTAAAGACATATTTCTTTTTTTTTTTTTTACTTTAAGCAATGAAAAATGACTGCCCCTTAAAAAAACAGTACTTTTTAAAAAAAAAAATCACTGAATCATGTCCTTCAGGGCAGTACTCGAGTCCCCATACCTATTTTATGGCCACTAACTTGCATATAAGCCTTCAAAATGGGCACATTACAAGTTCAAGTCCAATAGACTTGCATTGATTTTCATGTTCATGGTCAAAAGTTCGAACGTTTGACAGCAAATCGAACACAGAGTTGTCCGGCCCATCACTACTCCTTAGTATAAATCTGTATACTAAATACTTATAAGACAATACTTAGCAGCTGCCTCTTATGGCTACACCAAAAACCTGGGAGTATGGTAGCCATTCTTCTATATACAGCTATATACAGTATCTCACAGAAGTGAGTACACCCCTCACATTTTTGTAAATATTTTATTATATCTTTTCATGTGACAACACTGAAGAAATGACACTTTGCTACACTGTAAAGTAGTGAGTGTACAGCTTGTATAACAGTGTAAATTTACTGTCCCCTCAAAATAACTCAACACACAGCTATTAATGTCTAAACAGTTGACAACAAAAGTGAGTACACTCCTAAGTGAAAATGTCCAAATTGGGCCCAATTAGCCATTTTCCCTCCCCGGTGTCATGTGACTCATTAGTGTTACAAGGTCTCAGGTGTGAATGGGGAGCAGATGTGTTAAATTTGGTGTTATCGCTCTCACTCTGTCATACTGGTCACTGGAGGTTCAACATGGCACCTCACGGCAAAGAACTCTCAGAGGATCTGAAAAAAAGAATTGTTGCTCTACGTAAGGATGGCTTAGGCTATAAGAAGATTGCCAAGACCCTGAAACTGAGCTGCAGCACGGTGGCCAAGACCACGGAGTCGTTTAATAGGACAGGTTCCACTCAGAACAGGCCTCGCCATGGTCGACCAAAGAAATTGAGTGCACGTGCTCAGTGTCATATCCAGAGGTTGGCTTTGGGAAATAGACGTATGAGTGCTGCCAGCATTGCTGCAGAGGTTGAAGGGGTGGGGGATCAGCCTGTCAGTGCTCAGACCATACGCTGCACACTGCATAAAATTGGTCTGCATGGCTGTCGTCCCAGAAGGAAGCCTCTTCTAAAGATGATGCACAAGAAAACCCGCAAACAGTTTGCTGAAGACAAGCAGACTAAGGACATGGATTACTGGAACCATGTCCTGTGGTCTGATGAGACCAAGATAAACTGATTTGGTTCAGATGGTGTCAAGCGTGTGTGTCGGCAACCAGGTGAAGAGTACAAAGACAAGTGTGTCTTGCCTACAGTCAAGCATGGTGGTGGGGGTGTCATGGTCTGTGGCTGCATGAGTGCTGCCAGCACTGGGGAGCTACAGTTCATTGAGGGAACCATGAATGCCAACATGTACTATGACATACTGAAGCAGAGCATGATCCCCTCCCTTCAGAGACTGGGCCGCAGGGCAGTATTCCAACATGATAATGACCCCAAACACACTTCCAAGACGACTAAAGAAGCAGACGGTAAAGGTGATGATTTCTTCAGTGTTGTCATATGAAAAGATATAATAAAATATTTACAAAAATGTGAGGGGTGTATTCACTTCTGTGAGATACTGTATATTAAGCTATACTGTATGTACATTATGTATGTTATTAGGCCATGCCTTGGTTAGACCTATACTGTAGAATTATCCTGTACTGTTAACTTTATTCAAAGAGTAAAAATAATATTTGTTGTAAATAAATAAAATTGCCTAGTATAAGTCTCTCTCACCTCTGTGACCATGAAGCGCATATGATGGCACATGATGTTGAAGATCTTATTCCCCTTTTCAGAAAATCCATCCACATATGAGGCTGAAAAGAACTTTGGGTAAAAGTAATATGTATAGCGAACAGGAAAGGCAAAGGTCAAGTTGTGGAATTCACCGTAGCGCAGGAGGATGTTCATGATGGTGCTGCTGGCTGTTTTGTGGGTCTTCAAAAAAAAGATGTTTCTCTTAGGCTGACAGGACCTTCTGCCCTTATTGGGCAGCATCGTCCTAAGGTATGTTCTGTTCCCAGATCTTAAAACAAAACAATAGTGTTTTTTTTCTGTGAGTATGCATTTTGAGTAATTATTGTCATTTCTACTATAAAGAAAACATGCCACAAAATTAAAAGTCCAAATAAAAGGCATGCCTGTAAAGAAGAAAGTAAATGCTCACATCTACATAACCCACTTTCCTGTCCCACACCATTGAATGCCAGTCCATTCTAACACTTCCAAGGCTGTCAATTTTCCTTTATTCCTTCCACCAGCCTTCACTACCATTGGACACAGTAATGATGTAGGAGTTGATGGAATTAACCACATATCCCTGTCAGGAACCAGATCGACACTCCTGTGTCCATTTCTGTAGATACTTCACCTGGGGATTTCTCTTCATTTGGAGAGGTGTTCAGTAGTTCAGGCAGCAGGAGAGCTGTGTACTTTCTTCTTCACAGTCACATCTTTTATTTGGCCTTTCAGTTTTGTGACAGAGTCATTTTCAACTGCAACTGTTTTCAAACTATGAACATTCATATATTTATATATTAACAAACAGTAAATTCCACTCCACTCTGATACTTCCAGGACTGTCAATCTCCTGGTTTGGCAGTGTACTCATTGGTTCTTTCTACCAACCCCCATGTCACCATTGGACACAGTAGTTACGTAGGAGTTGGTGGAAAGAACCACAGATCCCTGTGGGGAGCCAAGAGATGAACAATTAAAAAGACTCTATCACTTTGCCATGAAGGAGTCTCTTTAAAGCTTATGCCCCAATCCACTTTACTCACCTTTCAGGAGCTTGGTGTTCCTCCATTGGTGTTGCCACAAAATACACAGCAATTTTAGATATGGGGAGCAAGTGACCTCCTCCCAGCATGCAATGCTCACTACTAAGCAGCCAATTGTCATGTGCCAAGGGGAATGTATCATCAACAGGGGCGGACTGACCATTTGGAAACTTGGGCACTGCCCGAGGGCCCGGGGTCAGTAGGGGGCCCCATGAGATGCCCCTGGTACCTTTTTCATAGGCTTTTTTGAGTTTGGGCAAGGACACAGGGGCCCCATGATCCGCTATTGCCCGGGGGCCCCATGAATTGTCAGTCCACCCCTGATCATCAACCCTCTGTGAACTCTGTAACCATCAAGTACAGAGCTTACCCAGGGTTAGGACTGCGGATGTAGTAAGCTGCAGAAAATGTGAATATAATTGGGTCTGATGGAGTTTAAAGAGAGTCTGTTTAGGGCTTTACAAAAATTATCTACAGTAAAATGACTGTGTTAGGATCACGTCAGGGCAGAAGAAAATGTCACTTTTCAAATTGAACAACAGTGATGGACACAAACAACTTGTGGAATCTTGTTAGAATTTGCTAGCATCTGATATTATTCACATTGCATTTTACTAGTAATGGCCAGCTTTGCAAATATAGGGCATCTTAATTGTGGCTCCTGACATGTCCAGAGTAGAGATAAGGTTGGGGCTGGGGTTTCCTGCTACCATGGGTTTGAGATGAATCCTGTGGGTATGCGATTTGCTGTTCCCGTACATTTTGTTACAGAATCACCTAGGAGATTTTTTTTAAGCCATAGTGCACTGCATGATCTTTAAACCATGATCCCTAGAAGGACCAATATAGGGACTCTTGGTTAAGTTAGCTTCATCACTATAATAATCTCCTAGATTGTAAGCTCGAAAGAGCAGGGCCCTCGATCCCCTCATGTTTTGCATTGTATTGGTATTGTTCTGTCACATGTTCTGTCCCCCTTTGTAATGTACAGCGCTGAGCGAACCATTGGCACTTTATAAATACTGTATAATAATAATAATAATAATAATAGGGGAGTACAGAGCAATCACAGTGTCAGTAAATTAGAACCTGTTGTGGGGAAAGCATAGAGAAAGCTGACATAGCATAGAAAAACCTGTATAGGTAGAGTTAAGAGTCAGTTAGTTAACTGTACTTTAATTCTGATTGTTAATGCCTAGGTCAACCAACCCCTTTTGCCCCATTTGTTTTTCATTGTATTTTGTTGTTGATTTGAGGTCAGTCACTTTTAGCTGCTGTCCCATCCATAACAAGCTACCCTGCAAAAAATGGGCTTTTATTTCATGGGTTGGTATTTTGGGTACTCATTTATTTTGTGCATTTTTTTATATATTATTTTATGTTATGTTTTTTAAAGTAAAGCAGAGCACTTTTTATAACCATCTGTTTTTTAAGCCGCCTTTTGATCACAGTATACTGATGCAGTGTTTGAAAAAGAAAAATCTCCACTAGACTCCAGGATTCCAAATATACGCTCTAATTTTGTTTGGTATTATATTCCAGTGAAACTCTATTTTCCCAGACACCAGCTCATCATGCCGGAGTTGCTCCAAATCTGAAAGGACATTACTCCATCTATTCTAGACCTGCCAAAACGTTAGGCCCTTTTGGCAAACTCTTTTTCCTATCATTTCTAAACTAACCATTATTCAAGCTATCAGCAACCCCACCTACTTTCTTCTACATACGGTACGTCATATAACATATCATATAATGTATAAAAATATTTCTACTCATACATCTGACCACTGTGGCTATAATAACAGTCACAAAACAGTCCTGATATGGCCCTGATAACTAAATACAATAAGTGACATAGTAGACCCAACTAAATCCCTCTAGTACCAAAATGAAATATTCCACCACATATGGTACCTTTGGCTACTATTCCAGTACTCAGACCAATAAAATCATCCTATAACTGAATCATGAATCCTGTTGGAATGCTTAAGCATTATACGCTTCAATAAACTTGTCTCTTGGTAAATTCTAAGGGCGCCTTCCTCTCCCCTTTCTTTCATCCTCCCCTGTACTTTCCTCTCCCCCCCTCCATTCTGAACTCTCCTCTCTCATACTTGCATACAAGTACTCTTTCCTTTCTACGCATGAGAGAACCTTTCTCCTGTGCACATACCTGTCTTGTACATAGTAGAGGCTGAGTTAATGAAAGGGCTTCCCTTACACCTCCTGTCCGATACCCCCTGGAGCTGGTGACAGGGTGTAGAAGACGAGGAATGGCATGGGTGCCTATGGTAGGATCTGACACCATGGGCGGTCAGATGACATTCGTACGCTGCTGGAATGCTATGAATGCTAGTCTGGAACTTGGGCAGAATACTATCACACAGATGGAGAAATCAAAGCATTAGTCAAAAAGAATCAGTTAGCAACAACCAGTGCCGTGACAAGGTCATCCAGCACCCAGGGCAAAGATGCCAAACTGCACCCCCCTTCCCTGTTTATGTTAGGCAAACTTAGGGGATCCTACTTCCAGCAGTTACTAGCTTGTCAAAATTACTGTCGTTACTCCTGTCAGCCTTGTAACAGAAGGAAGGCGCCCCCATCCCTATAGTAAACCATTTCACCTAGGACACTGTCCCTTCTATCCACCCCCTGTCTCGGCCCTGGCAATAACTGAATTCTCATATAACTAGGAGCTGTCATGATTACAAAAATGAAATCTAAAGGCTTTGCTCAGTGATAGTGTTATGTTGCTCCAGCAACAGGACACGATGTGAGTTTTCAGTTCTGTGCTCAAGCATTAGAAGGATCAGATTGACACTGCTGCTAGTACAGGGAGAGAATACAACTCAATACAGTACACATAGCTATGTGTAATATAAGTAGGTAGGCGCTACATACAAATAAAAATAACTGTAAGTGAAATGTGCAATTATTAGGGGACTAGTATCACTACATGCTCCGAAATAGAACCATTAGAGATTTAAATAGGTTTCTCAAGGTGTAAACTATATTCCTATAATTTATACAGAAAACATATAAACCAAAAATAAATGAATAAAAGTCCACAAGTATAATTGTGCTTGAATAAAGGTGACAGTCCTATCATTTTCTTTAAACTGTCACTCAAACCAAAAAATAGAGAGTGACTTGAATCTTCACTACGTGCCAGCAGGAGAAAGTAGAGACTGCTCACTCACCAGACCTTTTGACCCCAATTAAGGTGGTCAGATGCGCTTTTTGGTCATATAGGAGGCCATCCTCTCAGGAATCTCCCCACCAGCAGCTCTTCATTTAAGGCCATAAACTATGGAATAGTGACTCCCACCATGCCTCCAATATTTGTATGGTGTTCAATTAAGGTGGTCAGTTGTGCTTTTTGGTCATATAGGAGGCCATCCTCTCAGGAAATATATCCCCTCCAGCAGCTCTTTGTTTAAGGCCATAAACTATGGAATAATGACTCCCACCATGCCTCCAATATTTGTATGGTGTTCAATTAAGGTGGTCAGATGTGCTTTTTGGTCATATAGGAGGCCATCCTCTCAGGAAATATCTCCCCACCAGCATCTCTCCGTTTAAGGCCATAAACTATGGAATAGTGACTCCCACCATGCCTCCAATATTTGTATGGTGTTCAATTAAGGTGGTCAGATGTGCTTTTTGGTCATATAGGAGGCCATCTTCTCAGGAAATATCTCCCCTCCAGCAGCTCTTCATTTAAGGCCATAAACTATGGAATAGTGACTCCCACCATGCCTCCAATATTTGTATGGTGTTCAATTAAGGTGGTCAGATGTGCTTTTTGGTCATATAGGAGGCCATCCTCTCAGGAAATATCTCCCCTCCAGCAACTCTTCGTTTAAGGCCATAAACTATGGAATAATGACTCCCACCATGCCTCCAATATTTGTATGGTGTTCAATTAAGGTGGTCAGATGCGCTTTTTGGTCATATAGGAGTCCATCCTCTCAAGAAATATCTCCCCAACAGCAGCTCTTCGTTTAAGGCCATAAACTATGGAATAATGACTCCCACCATGCCTCCAATATTTGTATGGTGTTCAATTAAGGTGGTCAGATGTGCTTTTTGGTCATATAGGAGGCCATCCTCTCAAGAAATATCTCC